AGACCCCAACAGTAGACTGCTCGAACTCGCTGAGTACAGCAGATGAAACGAAAATTAACAAACTACTCGACCAAGTGTCGGTAGACGCCTTGACACAGTGTGTGTCTTACAATATTAAGAGAACCCGCACTCCTATTCTGAACTACTAAGCAGTAAGTCAACTCGAAAGCCTAGAGGCAATACAGAAGACTTACTACTTCTAATGCTACCCGCTGTCTGGTCTGTGGGCCCTCCGGGAGCTCTTTATATAGGAAAGGCTCCCCATTTTGGGCGAGTAATAGGCGGAGAGTTCTCGGAATGGTGGAACCGCCTATTGTACGCATGGAAAGGGTAACGGAAGATGGGATGAGAGAAGCTCTGGGAGAGGGAACGCATCGCTAGAAATGACTCGTATTTTAATTAATCGTTATAATTAATTAGTTAGATAATTTTAAGTTTTCAGACTATTATAAAATTATTCTCGGCGTCGCGAAAAGAACGTCAGTTTTTGTCACTTCCCGCTACGCCAACTGGTTCGCTAGATATTGATTTCAAATTTGTTTATAAAATATAGCTTAGTCAAATGTTGTAAATAATTCATTCCTGTTTCTTATTTCTAGAGTCATTTGTAAATAGAGTCGTCAGTAGCAATTTTGGTAATGGAAGAAATTATTCTCAATTGTTAATTACGCATGTATACTCTTGCTAAGAGAATCTATTGAGCTTTCTCTCTTGCACGCGTATGTTATGTATATATCTCTCTCTTTCGCACTCGCACAAAGCATTAGCAGTCATATGAATTATTGCTTGCAGATCGGTCTTTCTCGCTCGTACGTATATGTGATCCTTATTACGCTCTCTCTTGCACTCGTACAAAGTAGCGTTCATATTAATTAATATCTTATTTATCCCATGCGGACTCTTTTCAACACGCATGCTCTCGCTTGCACTCGTACAGAAGATAGGGCCTATGCCTAACCAAGCGGCCATAGCCTTTCTCGCTCTTTCTCATATTAAGTATAGGAGCCATAGGCTTCCTTCCTTATGCATATGCCTTTCTCTCTCTTTCTCATACTAAGTATAGGGGCCATATAGGTGTTCTCTCTCGCACTCGCAGGGAATATAGGACCAAGCGTAATTAGGCGGTTCTATGAATTTAGGTAACTCGTAAACGGTGTACGATAGAAATTTGGGACCTTGACCATAATTATCGTTATATTTTTTATTAATTATTGGTGAATAGTGATTTTTCAAAAATTGCGATATCTCGAGAACTAAGCATTGGAGAGAGCTCGGAGTTGTACAGGGACGCATAATCGGTTATAAAAGTTAAAATTTTGAATAGTGAAAAATTTGTTTAAAAATTAAATAAATAAACAATTAGTTAATTAATCAATTTTTGGGTCGGTTGAACTTGTTATAGGCCCGGAATTATTATTAGGCTAATCTGGGACTTATTGTCAAGTTATTTGTTTATAACAAATTAAAAAGTTTAAACTTTGACCATCAAGGTTATTTGATTTTTAGTTATTCGTGTTCGTGAGGTTTTGCCGTTTAATTTGATATAAACATGTATGCAGTTTCCTCTTATAGGAAAGAAGTTATTCAATAGTTAATTAGTGGCTAAATTAACAATATCGTCCGGTTCTTATTCTTGAAGATTTTGATAAGCTATCTTGTAGTAGTTGCTTTACTGTGTTTCGTCACAAAATTTGGTTCCTTGATCTCTATTCCTTGTATTTTAAATTAAATTCATAAGTTTAGCACTGTGGGACAATGACAGACAATACGGGGTTTGCATAAGAGCCCCTCACATCAGACGAACATCGACAGATATTCAATCTTTCAAAAATTTATAACTTTTAAATGGTAAGAGGTATGACTGTTGGTCTTATTATAAAAGTTATTTGGTCTCTTCCAAACTATCGATTAATTAAATAAAATCTTATGGTTAATTGTAACCAATTATTTTAAGAGTACACTGAGGAATGATTTAAAAGTTTATAACTTCTAAACGAAAGGAGTTACGACTATGGTTTCCATTATGAAAGATGTTTGATTTTTTGTAAACTGTTGGTCAGTCGAATAAAATATTATAGTTAATTGTTATTAATTATTTCGGAAGAAAACTGAGGATGCATTAATATTGAAAAATCAATAACTTCTAAACGGTGGCAGTTACAACGACCGTTCTTGTTGTAGAATTGATTCATTTCCCCTAGACTATCGATTAAAGAAATAAAATACTATTGTTAACTGCGATAATTATTTCAAAGATCTAGTAATCTTTAAACCCTGATATCTCCTAAACGGTAGGAGTTACGATAGTCATTTTTATTATGGAAACCGCTTAACTTTGCCTGATCCGGGGATTGGTCACATAAAAATATATAGTTAGTTGTCATGGAAATTTAAATATATCGAATGAGTGCGAGGAGGACAGACATATGCCCCCGTTATCTCGCAAACCATGAGAGATACGGTCTTGACGCTTATTATCGGAAGTACAGAGCTTGCTTCAACTAGTAGATTTTTGATATAAAATTATATTGTTAATAA